CTTGACTACTTGATTTTAGTAAATAGCTTAGGTATCTCCTAGAGAATGAAAAGACTTCTAGTGGCTTTACAAATGAGCTTAGTGTTGAAATACAATAAAATCTCCCAATTTACACACTGGGACAATTTATTTCTTGAAAGGTACAAAATATATCATTGAATCAGCAAACATATCCACTCTGAGTTCTGTTATCACTCTTGATTACATAGACTCAATGTCTAAAGTCAAACATATTTTAACTCTTCTTTTGTATACAAGGAAACATTAAACCTGGAGTACGTAAACCCTCATGTTATGAAACTTTAAAATGCAAGACATTATGTGCAGTACAAATATCTTACAGCAAAGAAAAAATGGCTCATTTTGCAAAAATTTAAAAGAATAGACATAGATTTTTAAAAATCACACAATCCAGAATTTAATATAATGTTGTTTGTTAACAAGAGCAGAGGCAATTTTTGATTTATAAGCCTTTTGCATCAAAGGCTTATAAAAATTTGAGTAAAAATACTTTCAACAGAAACTGTTATAAATTCAGTCACAAACTTCCATATCCATAGTACAATTGTCCTTGAGCATTTTTACCCCTTAATCTTTTGGCACTTGTAGCCTCATCTAGGAAATGTAGGGGATGATGATTTCTTCCTCCCCTGTTTTTTTCTTTACTGGCATGTGAGAATAAATAAAATACATACAACCAAAACCCAAGTCAAACACACATACACACGCAAAGAACCCCATACAAAACAAAAACTGCTAACTCATTACCTTGTAGTTTTTTACCCAAAGCATATTTTCATGATTTCACTATTTAATTGTCATATACCTACCATTTCAAAGGCTGTCCTGAGTTTCAATCAATGCATTTGTGTTGAAACAAAAACTTTCTTTTGCATAGTTTAAAAATTATACATAAATAATCATGAACATATATTTATTGTTTTATTTATATTATTAGTCAATGTATATATTTAAGAATTAAGGCAAATAAAGTTGAATTATTTTCTTTTGTCACAGATCCAAACTCTGTCTCCTCAGAGGTTTATATTTTCATGTGCTTAGAAAAGGTGATTGAATGTTTTTATTAGAAAAAATAGAATATAAAATACACTTTAAAGTGAAAAGGTTATATTTAATAGCTATCATTTGGGAAGAAGGGAAGGGTGTTATTAAGCAAGTTAGCACAATAACCTAAAACTTTTTTCTTCTTTGAAAATTGTGGAAAATCACAGGGTCAGGTCAGGGACAGTTGTGCAGATGCTGAGAGGGCAGAGTCCTGAGTCCTGGCATAGGTGTCTCGGTTACGTGGTGAGCAGGTGCACAGTAGTGAAAGGCCCCAGGAAGCACAGGCCTTTTGACATTTGCCAGCCAAGGGCACTTGTTTTGGATTCCTCCAGAGCAGCACAGAACAAGTGCTAGAACCACTTATGTGCTGCATTTTCTCTCTCTTTAAAAACTGAAAGTTTTAAATGTACACTACTAATTTCAGGAGATACCTATGTTCAGCAATTTGAATGCCTGGACTGAAAATTAGGAAGTTTGAGTTTGGTTGCCAGATCCACCAGAGTATTGTTTTATAATTTGAGGCACATCACAAAATATCCTACTATTAAGATCTAAATCTGTTATATGGAAGTATTATACTTCATTTATAACTTAATATTCAGAACGCTAATAGAAACCTGTACATGTTACAGTATGTTACAAGAATGCTTAGAAATATTACTGAAAAGGAAATTTGAAAATCTCAAATAAATAAAAACTCATATAACCTTAAATTTTAGAAATGTTTTCCAAATATTTTGTATGCTTTATCTTATTTTGGCATAGTTTTTGTCTCTAATTCCTGTACTTGAGTTGTAGTACGTTTTTGATGTGAATGCAAATAGGCTTAAAAAGGGATATTTGGGGTTTTCAAGGTATTTTGGAGTTTTAAAAATGAATTACCAATTACTGATACATTTTCAGAGCAAGTCTCTTATTAATTAATATCTTAATGTACTATTTTTGAACTGCCTTCAGGAGAGTGAAGAAAGGCACTGAAGTGAGTGGGAGGTGCCCTGAGTTGTGTTTAAGCCATTACCGCGGGGTGCAGCTGGATCATGTTACCTGTGGGTCTCCTTCACCCCCCATGCTGCAATGCTTGGAACACCGTGAGTGGCATATGCAGTCACCTCTTTCAGAGGTCCATTAACACATGACCCATTAGGAAACCCATTTTTTCTGAGTGAGGTGATAATTCATTAACAGAAAGGTCACCACCTGTGATGCATTTTGAACATTTCATCCGCATTGACAGAAAACATTCTAATCACTGTATGCTATGAAATCCGAGTCTAAAGGGAAGGTAAAAATAACTGCTTTTGTATAGAAGTATAACAAGAATTTACAAATGTGGCTTCTCACATGTATTAATGTGCTTTAATGAACATTTTAAAAGATTTTGAAATAGAAAACAATATTTTTCAACACTATATTTCAGATGAAGAACTGAAGCAGCTGGAAAGAAAATGGATTTGAGAATCAGCTGAACTGTGTTCAGATTCTGATTCAGTTACATATGATCTGGACAGCTAAGTTCTCTGAGGCTCAGTTTCTTTGTCTGTAAAATAAGAGTAATGCCTTATGTTCTGGAAAACTGCACAGGTTACAGATAATATAGGTAAACCCCTTGGCACATGACAAGAACTCAATAACAACAGGCAACATTTTAAGAATGTTTTTTCCCTAATGTCTTACTGATATGTTCAGAATACCTAGCAAAACTCTCACAGGAGATAGCTGTGACTGTCACCTGTTGTCTTATCCCGAATGCCCAGCCTTTGCCCTCAATGATTATTTGATGAATGAATAAATGTCAATGGAATAGATATTTAGGCAAGGCATTTATAATGACAGTACATTCATATGCAATACACTACGTAGCAAAGAGAAACACGGCATTAAAGACCTCAGAAGAGTTATGTAAATTAGTAAATCAGCCCATTTTCATACCAGCTGTACATCAAACCTATGTACATTAATTAGTATTAAATTTTACTATGTTTAATATTTTAAAAACTCATACTGATGTAGATTTTTATAAGGCATATGCTTCCTATTAGCTTACATATGATCAATCACATCTATATCATTAGTAGACATTTCTTCTTGCTCCTTTTAGTTATTTATATGCTAATACATTTCCTACATTAATAAATTTTTAATGTGTGCTTTGACATCCCCAATACTAGCATTCCAGGTTGGATGTTTTATAAAATACATGGAACAAGAAAATAAGTGACCATGATGATATAAAGTAAGTTTAAACTTGAAACTCTGAAGAAACAAGAATATAAATAAATGTTGGTCTTTTCCACTATAGATGGGTTAAAATACATTCTTCATAAAATAATACACTTTGCACATATGATTTTAGACCTGAAATTAAGTAAACTGAGGTAAGAAATATCAAAACTATATAATGAGACTAAAATGTCTCCTCAAAATGATTGAAAATGTGCTCAATAAATATGGTATATCTTGAAGCAGTTATGGACTTTATGTAACTTCAATTTTCTAAATATATAAGATTAAATTTCATTTGCATGAAATAAACTAACAAGGAGTATTGTTCAGTAAAAAGCTGAAAGTTCTTTATGGAGTAAGTATCCTGTTAAACACTCAGAAAAGAAAATTTCATGAGGTCCCTTAAACTAATCATTTCACATATCTTTTAAATCTTAAATTCTTTTTAACAAAAAAGGGTCATTGGACAGCTCTTCATTAAATACTGATATCAAGACATAACACGTAACAAATTGTAAAGGATGGTAGATGCAAGATGGAAAAACTAGAAGAAAAATACTACAGTAACAGACTCATAGATCATGCTTTCCCAGTATGGTGGTATAATAGTCTATACATTATCTACATGACAGCTTATTAGTTAAGGTCCCAGAACTTTTCTCATTTCCAGTAGCAATTTGTTTTTCAAGCCCACTCTTTTTCAAATATGAATTATAATGTCTCTGAAGTTGTCTTTTATTTCTTCCCTGTTATTTCTCACAAATCTGAAATCATTAGTATTGGGTTTTGAATCTTTTTCTAATATTTTCACAGTCAAATATGCTGATGCCTCAATGAATTTACCTCGTTAGTGCTTCAGTACAGGTTTCATAACAATTTTGGAGGACTGTATTGCACATGGTTCCTTTTCTAATGTGTCTACTTTTAAATAAACTTGTCTCCTTTACTAATAGTGCCTGACAGTTTACATTAATTTGGGCTCAATCCTCAATGTTAATGGTAAAAATAATGGTTTAGTTCTGCAGGAAAATGTAAACATTTTCGAGATCAAAAATTCTGGAAATCAGGTTTTCACACCTTTTTTATTAGGAAACTTAAATTATTACTTTTTTGTAAAAAAGGAAGTAGCCAATATCCATTTTTGAATTTTCTCAAACAAAGAATAGTAAAAGATAGCAAACTAGGATAAGAAAACACATTAGAAGACAGTTTCCTATTTCATACAACTTCTAGTTACGTTTTCCTATCCATTAACCTATTTATTTTCAGCAGCAAGAAAAATAATATCCATTTGTCTTTGCCTTTTTGGATTTTTCAAGGTGAGTTTCATTTACCTGAATACAAACAAAGCTAAGGAAACGGCTTTTGTATTGGCATAGACCAAGGACATGTTTCACAACCAGGAAATCCTGCCTTCTATGGCTTCTGTTGCAGTTTATAGTCCAATGATTCTTAAACCAAACGACAGTTGAACAATGTTCAAAATGACACAGATTGACAACAAATAACGGAAACACATGGACTCCCCTTAGCTGTTATTCTTTCCAAAATACAAATTTTTAGCGTTTTGTAAATAAAATTATAAATACTAAAGAAATGAAGAGAATGGGGAAAGGATCATTTCTTATCATAATAAATATTTTGGTACAAATTTTTAAAAAAACGTAGAAAAATTTAGTACCTTTGGGTACTTTTTTCTAATAAAACCATACCTGCTTCAGAACTTGTCTGATTATAGCTGCTAACAATGCTGTTTGGTATCACTGGAGTGGAGGACGTTGAAATTCTTGACTGAGGTGGATTGGGATGTAATGAATTTCCTAAAGCCATGCCCGACTGACTGAGCATCCCACAGTTCCCGCTAGCCTGAATCTGATTTATTAAACCTGCAAGATGGTGGTTGGGGACTGGGCTGTTATTGTGAACAAAGTTAGTGTTTGCATTATGGCAGTGCACGGCTTCCCCTCTTAAAGGTATGTTCTGTGTCAGTGAATTCTGCAGAACACTGGAGTTCATACTGGGATCTGTAAAATGCAGCTGGTTAGCAGAGCAAGGCAAAGCAGTATTTGAGCCCCCACAACCTGGGGTACTATTGCTACTCAAGTGAGAGCTTTGACAACTCATAGACTGTAGTAACTGAGACATTGAACTGATGGGAAATGAACCCTGACTCTGCTTCCTTAGCAAGTCAGGTCCAGGTTTAGAAACTGCAGAACTATCCATTTGAGACTGTCTGAGCAAACTCAACACTGTGGTAGGTGGCTGTTTTCTTTTCCGTAATGAGTCTTTTTGCTGAGACATCAACTTATCTCTTAGTGCTGCTCGGCCACTTTGCCCTTCACCTGTTGGAAGAAGCATGTTGGCAGTAGGAGGGAACATGGTGTTTAAAGTGCTATGTCCTTCAGTGTTACCACCGCCGGCAACAGCTCCAGAATTGCTACTGCTGCTACTGTTGTTACCAGCAAGTTTGTTTTGATTTGCTAGCTGTGCTTTGGCTGCTGCTGAGAGTAAACTACTTGCTGGAAAGGAGGCAGCATTGTGCTGGTTCAAGATCTGATTTAAAGGCATTCCCAGCAAACCAGGCTGACTCTTTACAGAAGCACTTCCGGCAGATGCACTAGGAAAAGCTGCACTGCTTGGAGGATTTAGTACATTACTCATTCCAGCAATTAATGGGTTAGGGATATCCTTGTACTGATGATGTCCATCGGACTTGGTAGAAGGGCTTGATGGCATTGATGGCCTTGGGGACCCTATTGTTGACCTTGGTGACCTGGGTGGAACCTTAATACCACTACAGGTAGCTTGGGGTCCTACAGGTGGCATCATGAAATTTCCATGATCTGATGATGTGGAAGATGAGCGTGATCTTTGGGGCGATGCCTCAATCCTTCCAATTCCAGTCCCCATCATGTGCACTGGGGATGTCACTGGAGAAGGGGACAGGGAAGTTGAAGCTAAATGCTGAACTCTTTGTACATGACTCCCATGATTCATGTGACCAGGTTTTACAGTTGGCAAAGGGAGATTACTTGGCAAAGGAACAACAGCAGGAGGCATGCTTACATTCATCACAGGTACCTGAGAGTGGACATTTGAATGGAAACTGGTTGGATTAATGATAACAGGGTTCTGATTCACTGGTTTACTAGGAATAGGGTCAAGAATGCCAAGTGGATCTTTCTCAGATGTTAATGGCTTTTTTTGAAGAGCACAAGAAGGTGGAAGTGGGGGAGGTGGGCCTTGGGGTGGTTTGTGGTGGAACATTGCTCGTGGCATTTCCATGTTAGTTGAAAAATTACACATTGATTTTTTCATTACTGGACTCTTTGTAGTCAAGGTTGGGGAAAGAGGTATATTAGTCCTTCCAGCCATTGCACAGGATGACTGTACAGGAGAACCATGTAGCATTACTGAAGGTGGAGAAAGAGGAGTCCTATTCAGGTGAACAGGACTTGAATTGGGAGCTCCATGAAAGCCAGGATTATTTCTTGTGAAAACATCTGGGCTTCCAAGTGGGTCAGTTCTTGGAGAGATTGAACCATCTCCATAAATCTGGGAACCTGATGATGCTGGGCTGGGCAGGCCTCCATGGCTGCCACGGAATGGAGACTTCTGTCCGTGTTCACTGCTGCCCAATCTCTGCCGAGGATAGACAGGATGGAGTTCTTGTTGCTGGCTTCCAGGCAGTTCTTGTACATACAGTCTTCCCATAGCACTGGATGATCCAATCATTAGTTTGAAAGGATTCTTACATTCAGGCATTACAGAATTTGTAATTCCTTCATGCGACTTATTTCTTACTGATCTTGGAGTTGCTGCCCGTGAAGGTACCACTGGAGTTGCATCTGAGTGAAAGAGAAAAAGAATTCTGTTAATAGTCTTAGTTCTTTTGTCTCAGCAGGGAGGGAAGAAGAGGAAGACATCAGGAAGGGAGAAGAAAGAAGAGCATCTGGAATACAAATTTGAAAATAAAATTATGATTCTATGCAGTTAAAAAAGTTCTACAAGCAGTGTTAAATTTCGATTTAAAACATGAATATTATTTTCTCTTAGTTGACCAAAGGTTCTCAGTACCGCTCATTGTTCGCTTTCTATTTATTGAGAAAGCATGCGTATCTAACCATATTCATACTGACACTGGTCATTCCAATAATACGTAGAGTAGGCAAAATTAAGATTGACAGCCCCCATATAAAATGGTGACACTAGTACCTTACTGGACTTGAGATTTTTAAGAACACATAATTAGAAAAGAAAATTGTAATTTGTATGGCACAATATTTTCTTCTGTGATTTAAATGATCTCCATTTCCTCAAGAAATTTTGTTTCCCTATAAATGTTTCTGTTATTGTATTGAAATCCTTTAAAGACAGCTGTAGCAATATACCTTTATCCCAACATTTTCACTGAGATTAAGACTGAATTTTTATGAATTAAGTGACTCAGATTGCAAATCTTTTAATTAGAATGATGACAAGTATAAATGCAATGATACTGTAATCATGCTTACTTTCACATCATGTTTATAACACTGTAACTATAATTTCTTTGCTCTTAATTAGTTATTATTGTAAAAACAGCTTTTAGTCAACTAACTTAGGTAAAATGTTTCAGTTCTTTTATTAGGCTAGAATTCTCATGTAAAATTTAGTCACAGTGCTGGTTTCCAATTGAGTATTCCCTTTTTACATGAATGCATTTCTCCCTCTCTGGCTTTTTGGAGTCCCTTCAGTTCTTCTGGAGATCAGACAGAATACAGGCAACAAAAGCAAGCTGGCTCATCACACAGAATTTTCACCCTATCATGTCAGAATTCTAGGATTAAGTTCTTTAGTTCCAAAGGATCCTTAACTATTTTATGAAGGTGTGCCTTCTAAACAAGAGAGGCAAATAATATTTGTTTCATATGCCAATTCCCATCAATTTGTGGTGGTCACTTAGACTGCTAAGTGAAAGGGTTGCTAAGCTTTAGCTGGGCTCTATAAGAAAATGCTAGGGAGTCCACTAAGGCATAGGAAATGAAAGTGATGCTACTCATACTATCTGTCTGCCATGCCTATTTTGAGACTCAAAGTATATTAATAAGCATTCTTTGTTTGCAATCACAAGTACCTTTACTTAAAAGGATAATTATACATTTAAAATATATTTTTACTTGCTAGATAGTGTTCAGGTTAAATAAAATGATTTCTACTAGTATCTTTTACAAGCTAGGGCCCATGGAAGTCTAAGTAGGGTGTACTTGAGTAGTAAGGGAAAACTGTGAACATATTTTCCTTGGGAAATGTGAACTTTCTGATTCTAGCATAATAGAAGCTCTTTGACAGAGTTATTTTGGGATATAATATACGAAATGCTGAAGATCAACAACAGAAAGCAATGGATAAATTCAACTGAAGGTTACTTTTTTGTTATAGAGATTTTTAAAGTTTGTAGTTCAGAAAGTAATATATTAAATATATGTAAGGTATTGTGCTTGACATATAGTGAGAACATTATATGTAGTAACAAACCTAGCATTATTATGGGATTGACCATTTAATGAAAAAACCACCTTGTTGTACCTTTTCTTAGATATTAATGTGTTTATATAATTATTTGCTGTTCAGTGATTCCAAACATAGTGGCATTTCTATATTCAACTAACTGAATTTAGATAATAACTAGATTTAGAAAGGATTTCTTCTATACCTGGGACAAACAGTCATACTTAAAATGACAAGACTTCGGTACTCGACAAACAAAGTAAGGGCAATGTTCTATGACAAGAACCAAAGGCGTAGGAGAACTGGCAAGCGCAAATGCTAGGAATCTATCAGGTACTTTCATGTGTATTCAAGTAAACCTTTCAAAGAATAAATCGAAAAAAAATAAACGTTTATATATTTACATAAAAAGGGTTGAAAACTATGTGAGCCTTCTGAATTTTTAACCATGAATTTAGGATAACATAATTTAATATTAGGGAATAGATGCTATGTCTAAAGATAGAAAAAGAGTGGCAACTGACAATAAAGTTCGCCATTTAAAAAGAGATGGAGCTGGTGCACAATTATAAATCCCACACTCTGGAGGCCGAAGCAGGAGAACTGCAAGTTTGAGTCTTGCCTAGGCAACTTAGCCAGACTTTGCTTTAAAAAGAAGGACAACAAGATAAAAAGAATTTCAATAACTAAATTTGTATGCTTAGGTATAACAATGGACCTAAGTCAAGTTCCTGTGAGGTGCTCCAAAAGGTAACAAAGCAAACTTTGTACAAACAGGTAAAATTTTGACAAACTTGTATAACTAGATAATCTGGGTGTGAAATTCTTGGAAATAATTTTATGAGACTTTTGCAGACTTAATCTGCTTTTTGTAATAAAATGATAGAATACATAAATCTTAAAAGTATTGTATACATTTGAAAAGTGAAATGGGAAAGTACTTGGCTAAGTAAATTCCAGCAACTCCTTGTATTAGAAAAGGGAGGAGAGGTCCTAAGCCCTTAGCCATGTTACATACTTGTTCCTCCTCCGGGACTGGTGAGCACCAGAGAAGGATGGGGGGTTTCCATGCTTTTATGAAGTGTGGCCACTGCAATGATTTTTCTTTTATGTATGCATAGCTTTGTGACATCTTCATCTGCCTTGACATCTTCTGCAGTTCTCTGCTTCACAGCTGCTCCAGGATCAAAATTAAATACCTGGAAAAAGCACAGCTTTAGTTTAGAAAATGTCTGTGACAACATTTAATAAAAAGATCCTCTTGTTTAGAAAGAAAAAAGTTAGATTATGCCATTGATTAAATCATAAGGAATTTGAGTAAAATTTTTCTCAAGGTTTTAAATTTAAGGAAAGCTAGCTGGGCATGGTGATACATGCCTGTGATCCTAGCACTCAAGAGGCTGAGGCAGAAGGATTTCGATGAGTTCAGACCACTTTAGGGTATATAGCTCGTTCAAGGCTGGCCTGAGACCTTGAACATAACAGACCCTGTCTCAAAAAAAAAAAAAAAAAAAAAAAAAAAAAAAGATCTCAGCCATGAAATCAAGGAAAGCAACTTTATATAATGTAACAAATACAGCTGAACTCATGGTTTTAATTGGCAAAATGATGAAAATTATACTAACTCTAAGATATGATACATATATGGAGAGATGTACATCTGATAAAGTTTCTAATTATAGATACTTCCTCGTGTTTTAACAGTATAAAAAAGTTGAAGTACAATTACAGAAATAAAATAAAAGCTATGACATTTCTACATGCTTTTTCTTTGGTTCCCTTGTATTTCTATATTAATGCCTTTTCACTAAGTTAAAAAATCTATTACTCTTTTTAAAAGATATTACTTATACAAATATTTTAGGATACAATGACACTCAAGGAAGAAGTTATTTACTAATCTTTATTTATTAATCAGTATTATAACATATACAAAGCATAATGATCTACTTCTATAGCAAACTATATTTCACCATTATATATGGTTATTCTTATTACCTTATAAAGGAATAAAATAGCTTTATATTTTGGCTGTGAATATTCAGCTTTGTGATTTTAGGAAAATACTATATCTCTGAAAGGTTTATTAACACCGATGCTAACGGTAACACTGTTAATTTGAAGAGTTACAGCATTGAAATAAAGTACTGATGTACTTAGGAGACTGAGACAGTAGTTTGAGGCCAACCTGGGCTACACAGTGAGTCTTCATCTCAAAAAGACCAAAAAAAAAAAAAAAAAAAAAACCTACTGCAGTACAAAGTACTAAGATAGTCACAGCTCTAATAAAATGTGCAGTGGTAGTTTTGATGAAGTATTTATTATGAATATAAGTTTGTCACCTTTGAAATGACTTGAATTATTATGCAATATTTAAGCATTTCAAAATGCACATAAAGGATGTTTAAATGAATACATGATTGGAGAACTAATATTAGATGAAATGCCAAATGAGAAAATCAAATATATAAAATACCTTAAAAAAAAAAAACTGCTGTTATCCCACTGTGAAACGGTTACCTTGGGAAGAATAAGAGGACATTCCAAGCCGCACTTGCATGTTCCATCAGTAAGCAGGTATGTTTTAACCTGCTCCAAGCAAGATAACAAAGACCCACTGGGACTGTAAAAATAGTTTAAAAAAACATCAGGAAATAATTTTGGCTGCATATAAATATGAAAAAATGCATAATATATAGTCTTACCATCCTCCAGAGGATATTTTTCCACTAGTGAAAAGCATTTTCTTTATCAGTATTATGTTAGCTACTAAATTATAGCCTTTAACACTATCATTCTTTCCTTTGAAACAAAATCTCTCTAAGAAAAAGACAGATCTTCATAGAAAATTATACAAAAGTAGTTTTGAAAACCTAGAGTGAACTAAAAAAGGACATAAATCGGAAAAAATGTACTAAAAAGGACAGAAATAGGCAAGAAAGAACAAAAAAAGTACTAAAAGTAATTATGATCGTTTTAAACTATAAGATTTATTTTTAAAGCTCTTTGAGGAAAAACTAAAGTTGAAGGACATATTATGGTTCCAATAAAAAATTTGGACCTAACAAGCTCATTCTTGTTTATCTTGGAGTCTAAAATGAAGTTGTCTTTATGTAAAACACAGGTTTCTAGAAAAAACAAAAACAAAACAAAAAAACAAGCCAGATTTCTTATCCCCCACACTGGTGTATTTCTTTGAAGACTGATTAGCATGACTCAACTAAAATTATACTCAAAAGCAAAACCAAACAGAGAAGGGGAGAAAAATCGAGCAGAACTGACAAGAATGGGAAAGTTTTGAGGAAATATCCTGTTAGTTGGCCAAAAGGTATCTTGTAGTTCTCCTGGTTGGCAACTAGGCAGGTATCTTACTACCCTTGTCACAAGAATCAGTAAAACATGATAATATTGATCAATTTCATGTCTACAGATTAGGTATTAATATATCAGATGGTAGTAGAATGAGCCTGGCTTTTATTTACAATAAGAATTAACTTAAAATAAGTAATTTCTTTTTTAGGACTTTTATTATTAACATATCAATCTTACAACTTAAATATTCATATTATGCTTTGAAACTTTATATACTTTTTATTTGAGAATGTCTTTTTTATAACTATTTAGTGAAAGCTTCATGTAAGCGTACTGATCAGAATTATCCAGAAACAATTATACTCTCCATTTCATAAATAAAAGCATTATACTATCAAACATAAACAACTCTGCCTCTATAAAAATGTAAGTACTTGTAAATGAACCAGCTTTAAATGCAGTCCATGTTTTGTTTTATAGAAATATAAAAAACTTGGGCATACAAATTTAAAAGAAAATTCTTAACTAGGTTAAATTATTTATTCAGGCTATGTTTTATAGATGATATGCAGAGAATAATAATTTTCACATTTCAAACTGGAGTTCTACCATACTAGGGAAGATAAGGTATTTTGTAGATCTGGTAATTTTCATTTTTTTTTTGTAATTATCAAAAAGCACCTTACTGGATTTTCACATTAAGAATTAATGAATTTGGTAAAAATACACTGTCCAACATTTATTTAAAATACATAAAATAACCTAAAGAAATTTAACTTTAAAATTAAAACTGAGTACAAATATCCCTAAATTCTTAGTGTACCCCATGTACTTTGCAAACATTTCCTCACAGTCAATTGGGTCCTTTCATTCAGCTGTAGCTCTTTAATTAGCTTCAGAGAGTAATAATTACTATAAAAATAGTTACAAGTCTTGTAGCGTAGGCAAAACTTAGAAGACTGGAAACAGGTAGAAAAGTTATAGTTTCAATAGCACATAAAGTAGGAGCGGCTGGAGATTAACTTAAAAATTACAAGTGAACTAGGACTGAGATAAGAAGTATAGAAAATGGTCGTTTCCCATACACATTCAAGTAGTAATTTAATTAGTGATACACAAACAAACCCATGCTGGCTTGATTTCATTTAAAAGCATTTTAACTTATCTGGGAAAATTAGTTTCCATAGTGAGTCTCTGTGTATAGATTTGGATTTTGAGAGCTCATGCTAACAGGATTACCAGGTAATAGTCTATCAGACTGGGAAATTATCAATAATATCACTGACAGAATCTTAGACTTGAAGTTGTTTTTTAATCCCCAAACTTAATTTGGTTAGCTCACAGCCATATAAAAATCTGATTTATATTTTCTAAGGACGGAGATGAAGTAAAAACAAAAAAAATGAACAAACAAACAAAAAAAACCCAAGTATTAAGACTTTAGAGTCATTCACTCCCAGATGAATGTTTTCTCTTATGATCTAGAACAATCATAAACATAAACATATATCCCCACTATCTTGTAGAACTTTGTAACGAAGTATTTCTAGCAGTTTATTAACCACATCAGTAATAGAAACACTCTGCAAAAGTTATCCCAAGTCTCCTTGTCTGTCTTACTCATTATGGGATAAGCCCCTCATTCGTGGCCTTTCTATCCTTTCACTTCAGTGAATTAGGCATGCAAGGAAGCAGATTAAAAAATGCAGAAAAATAAGGGAACTGCTTTTACCTAATATCAGGCATTAAAATGTCTAAAAATTAAAACTGTCTATAGATGAAAATATAATGTTAGAATCAGAAAACCTAGCCGAAATCTCTGAAACACACAGTAATACTGTCAAAAGGTAATGGATTTATATAAACAATTTTACATTCTTCTCTGACTATGGTAATAACGCTTGATTCTCTTTGGTATTCTAAGGCAATTCACATTGCAAAACATTGCAGAATGAACATACTTGTGTTTCTAGCACAGAGGTCATTTACTCAAATACATTTGATGTATTGTCAGTCAATACTTTGTTTCTCAAAGAGGAACAGACTCCATCTTCCTTAATCTTGGAACTGCAACTTTGGAGGTAACACAGGAATTAAATAATTGCTCACCTGACATAAAGAACTCCATTTTGATCCACGCGGCGCTGCCAACCCACAGGAACTTGTATAGCTGGAAGACCTCCTTCCTTGTCCCCTCCGTCACACTCCTTGCCTCCATTCATTTTCTGTGTCTGCTTGGGACTCTCCAAAGATATCAGCAATAAGATGATATCCTCATATTACACAGCATGATGGCCTTCAAAAATAGGCCAGTGTAGCACAGTTTTTCCTAGACTGTACAGAATGCATTGGGAAGCTACGGCTCAGTTTGAAACCAAGTCCTTGAAATCTGCCATGATGAAAATATCAGTTTCCCATTATAATTTACATTAAATAACCGATATTTAACTCCTGGGGATGGTCTACATGTGTAAAAATGAGTGATTCCAACTAAGTAAAATCATAATTCACCAATGTTAGTACCTTTCTCAAATAGGAGATGGAGGATTGTAAAGTTTTTAGTTGTACATTTTGTCTTAAACCTTGATGTTGGATTAAGATAACCTCCACTGCTTAAAAACTGATCTCATTTTTACAGTATGTCAGTTAATATTTCCAGGTACTACCCGCCTTTATAGGCCACATTCTTTAAACTTTCTCTTTATCTTCCAATCTGAATCCCAGGTGTTGCAGGTTGGTTCATTTGATGTTTTCATGACTTCAAAATTCCAATAATTCCCTGAAACATATGTAAATATGTAAATAGTATATTTAATGTTGAAAACTGAGAAGCTGCATGACTTTAACATAGAATAATCTAAGTGTACCTGATCATTTTGATGTCCTCTACCATCAAAATCACATGTAGAAATGAACTTGCTTTCTTTTTCCAAACTATCTACTTATGCTAGGCAAATCAATTTACTTGATCTTTACTACACAAAATTTTATTTCAATTACTAGAGAAAGACCAATAAGTATGGCATTATGCACACACAGAGGCACACACTCTAATCTGAAATAAAAATATATACATTATTTCCTATGACCTACTTCTAAAGCAGAAAACTGAGTTAATCCAATCACATTTTGATCATTACTTAATACTACATACACCAACAATTTGGTTTTCATTCCTAATCATTATACTGGACTAATGAAGGTACAATTACTCTTGTTATTTTTTTTAAAGAAGAAGTTTCAGGAAATAAATTTATAGTACATTGCCAAACATAAGAAAACTTTCTCCCAGTGTTAACTGAATATGAGTGGTAGTCAAGATTTTGCAAAATCCCCTGTATCGTGGGTTATTTTCTTAATTTCTTTACTAAGTCACACAGTGAAGAAGACACACTAGCTAGACAAAATAGTGCTAGTGTGGGATAATTACAGAAGTCATCTTAATGGAGCTGTTAAAAAAAGAAAAATTTAAAAAGACTAATATTGTGGAAAGTGTGATGTCATAGTTAGTGGTATTATTTCCTGTTGGAAACAAGCTTTTTAATGATCAATGTAATCATATTGTTTATTAAAGAATGAGTAAAAAAAAATCCTGTGTTATATAAAACAAGGTCTTGTGGTTTGTAATAAAAAATTTCTAATGAGCACCATTCAGAGTAAAAAGTTGCTATATCTTAAACAACTAAAATAGAAATACAAATGATATGCTGTTAAATGGGAAACTGTATAAATTACTTAAGATTTATACAGTAATCTTAAATTGGTTCCTTAAAATTTAAACAAAAAAATTCATGTACTTCTTAGATAATGTGTTCTGAATATACCTGTATAAATAAATTAATTGGTACAAAACATATACACACTTCTTAATCTATATTCCTAAAAGTCTATATTTAAGTGGCCTAAAACCTTTTTTGGATCTTTTTACTAGGAAAACAGGGGATTATTTTACAGTGAAGATCATCATGTACTTAGGTATATGCCTGATTTGTAACCTTGGCTCCAAGACTGGGTATGAGTATTTTAATAAAGCATACTCATTTAGGTGAAAACCAGGAACTGTGCTTATGGGCATAGAAAACGCTGGCAGACAACAGAAAAAGTAGCAAAAATTTATGGAAAACTCAGGGTATAAAGACAAGTACCAAGCAGGGTATAAAGATAAGTACCAATCCTTGCAATGGGTCTCTCATGCTGGTAATTTCTATCATTGGGCCTACTTCATTGTGCTATCCTTGTCAGAGAGATGATCCCCTTACAGATTTAACATTTGATTTCTGTCTTCTGCTCTTTCCATCTTTGATCATGATTTGTAGTGTTCATGTGTCTGTTTATCCACATTTCATTCAATACTTACAGAATAGTAACTGTGTGTTAGGCACTGTACTAGGTTCTAGGAGTACAAATATGATAAGAGACAAGTAATCTGTGACCTATAAAATTAACTCTCACTAGATAATACATTTGCTAGTTTCATGATTTCGGACTTCTTAGCTTCCAGAATTATGAGATACAAATTTCTATCATTTATAAGCCACCCAGTTTCCAGTATTTTGTGATAGCAGTCTAAATAGGGTAAGGCATCTCATCCTAAATGGAAATTTCTACTGTATCCAAAATTCAGTATAATATCTAGTACTAATAAACTGCTTACTGTGGCAGTTGGAAGATGAAAATAAAATTGAATTGTAATTTCACTGCAGAATAACCACTTGCAAATATTGACACTTCCAATCAATTTCAGGAGTTCGAAAAACCACATAAAAGTGAGTTTAATATAATAAATATGTATCACCACTCTAAATTACCTTATCACTTTTGCTTTTTCTTTAAAGATTACACATGAAGAAAAAATTATGCATGAAGTTAAATATTATCTCCAAACCTCACCTCATTTCCCTTTTCAGACCCTTGCCGCTTCCTTTTTCCAAAAGCAACCATCATCATGGTTTTGGTTTGTAACCTTGACCATGTTTTCCTATGTTTATTTCCTGTATGTGTACATGTAAGCCATAGTTGTACTGTTATGTGTCTTAAAATTTTATATAAATATTGTTATGCAAAATACATATAATTCTGCCACTTGCTTTTAAAAATTTAACATTGTGTTTAAAGCTGTTTCAACTGAGATGTTACAGATATACAGGTCCAACCCATTAGTTCTTAACATCTGAATGGTATTCTAGTATAACTTTCCATCTATTATCATATCACTCCTATTAATGTTGAGTTGCACAGTCTGTATATTTTCAGTTCTATAGACATCCACATTCTTCATATCGCTTTATCAAATCCCAATAAAAAGACGTTATAACAGAAAAGATACTGTGATATGAAGGCTACCTACAGCCCATGAATATTTGGGATATATATTACACTTAGGACTTAGTTTATATTTATTTCAAAACAGTAATAATAATGAAGATAAAAATGTGTTTTCGGCGTGTCCATATGCTAAATATCTGTGATAATTCCAGAAGTTTTCATTCTTCTTTTTAATATGGAAATTAGTTTCTGAAAATTGGCTTTTACTGATTTTTCTCTTTTCCTTTTTTTAATATTTGCATCTTCTGACCATTCGGAATTCATATTAGATGTTACCTCCTGAAACTACAATGTTTACTGTAATGTAAATTAGTTACATTTTGTTAATTCACTAATACCTCTTATTTTATGATTATTATTGCTTATATATTTATTTATTTATTGACTATAGTTCCTCATAGTAATGTAAATATTGTCAGAGCAGAGACCTTGTCTTTTTAGGTCTTTCCTATATTTCCAGTTCCTGATGTAGTCCATGGTGCTTTAACTACTTCCTGAAGATTTTGTATAATCTAATTAGTCAATATACTTTTATATTTTGATTTTTATCATGTACACTTACAAAATTATAGCAACAAATGTGTTCTAAAATGAGAGAGGTTTTAAAAAGAAGCCAATAAATATGCGTGTTGATAAATATAGAGGACATTTTACTCTAAATTTGTCCCTAAAAATCTCACAATTTCTGAGAGACAATTTCTGTGTAGAAAAAGTATCACAGGACTTCTAAGAAAACAAATAGGCTAATTTTAAATTCTATTTATAAACTATCAGAGTTTTTATAAGTGGTTCATATACATACTTAATTGAATTAATAAAGGAACCCATAAAATAAATGTAACAATGTAAAAATTAAAATTATATTTCAATAGGATGCTAATTAATACAATAGAACTTTTCTCAATTTAATTTACGAACATAGTTTATATAGTGTTAAGTCTGTTTTTGAAAGTTATACCCAAAACACCACAAAGATGAAATGTTAGAGAACATGATATCATTAAAATAAGAAATAGCTATTCTTCTGAACAATATTAAATGTCAGCAGTTCTTTGAATAATGTCAAGCAAACTTCATTAATAGTAAAAATAAAAAGGATTTTTTTTTTTTTGTACCTGGATCAAACTCATGACTTCATGTTTGCCAAGCAGGCGCTTCTGCCATTGAGTTAAATCCCTGGCCCTATTGAACTGGCTTTTGAGAGGTGATATTACTGGCTTTTTTAGAGACAGGGTTTTACTAGATAGTTCAGGCTGTACTTAAACTTGTGGTAACTCTACTGACTCAGCCTCTTACATGCTGAGATTATACGTGTGTGCAACTATGCTTGGCCAATTACTGGCTTTTGAGTAATAGATTCTATTAAAAATGTTGATAATGATCTAACATACTACTCTTGTGTTCAGTGAGGATACCTGAAAACACAGTGAGGCAGAATTACCGTCCACAGCATTATTCATTTGTTAAAAGATGAGATTGTGTAATTTAACTAAAACATGGATATTATATAATGTTATGAAAGTCTAAACAATTATTTACATTATGAATATCAGGTTAGCTTATGAAATTTTTAAAATCAAAAAGTTTACTCCTGGGACTGGGGATTTAGCTCAGTGGTGTAAGCACCTGCCTGGCAAGTGCAAGGTCATGAGTTCGATCCCTGGTACCAAAAAAAAAAAAAAAGTCTACTCTAATCCTATTGCAGAATAAATGCCTCATTTTCTCCAATTAAGAGTAAGTTTCACATAAAATCTACCTCTGTACTTAAACTGCAAAACAGTACATACATATAACAGTAAGTATGATTAGATTGAAGGTATTATTAGCTTTAGCAAAGTCTGAATGGCTAGGACTTAATTATCATTTCATTGAATAAATACCATGATAATCTTTTTATCATTAGTTAATAATGTTAAAGAAACCCTAAATGGCATTCACCCTTCCTAATTATCTTTCATTTCTATATCAACTATCCAAACAGCTCGTCCATTCCATCTATGCAATGCCCCATTCGATCTTCTCTGATCTGTTTTACCCTTCACCTATTTTTCAAGCTATGCACTGTTATTTGTGAGCATACTTATCTTGAAGTTATATCTTCTTTCAGTTAAAAAAAACCATTTTGCAATGTATGAATCCATTTTTACTTTGGCTATGAACTATTTCCATTTGGTTCTTATCACTGGGCAAGCTACCTCTTCCTTAATATATCTTGCAGATACATTGTCTATGAAAGATCCAATAAGACGCAGTAAGATTCCGTGAGAACCTCTGCCAAATTCCACTCATTTACCCAAACTACACTCAGCGTAATTGTATTTGTTTAATAGAGTGGTATCCGGATATCTTCAATAAACACATATTCTTGCCCTGATATCTAAAGTTTTCTAACTCCACATGTTCTTGTCCTTTAGATGCAGAAGAGTATAAAAAAAGGATTTTTACAACCTGTGAATGTGGGGTAGTATAAATGTAGGAAGGCTGGATATTCACAGTCTCTGAAGCTATAGAATCTGGCTCCCACAGTGAGGTCAATTCTTAGAGTCAAAGGAATAAGCAGCGTGATCAGTCTCCCTCTATAGGCAGGAAGATTTGTAATCAGGCCATTTTTTGCTGTACAAGTTCTACTTACACTTTCTAGTCATGTCTGAAGAAGTCTTCAGACAACTAAATGCTGACTATGGCAGACTGCAAGTGACCATGTTTATCAGTTCATTAGAAGGTAAGATTTATTATCCTCATTTTGAATTTCAGCTGGCCTTGTGCTTTGTTTTGATCAATAAAATATGATGGACTTAATGCCATTTGAGTTTTCAGCCTAAACCTCAACAGGACTTGTGTCTTCCACTCTTGTTCAGTGAAATGCCGCTGACATAAAAACACCTTAAACAGACCACAGACATGAGAGTGAAGCTAGTAACACAATGTAAAATAGAGATGAGCTGGCCCAGCTGAGTTCACACTAAAGTGCCAACCCACAGAATTATATTATTTCAAATAGCCAAATACTGTTCTGGAAATAATGTGAAAGTCTAACATAGAAGTTAACTTTAAATTGAGAGATTATGTAGTATTTACTAGTTCACGTGTAAACTCTAGAGTCAGACTTTCTGGACTTGAACATTGGGTCTACAAGCTGTGATCTTGATTTTTAAAATTTTTTTCCTTACAAAATAGAGATTGTAACCTTTTGACTTTTTCTGAGAAAAAACAATCTTATGCGTATGTGTCTAGGACATAGTAAATATCCAAATTATTACTCATAGGCAACTGTTAAAGTCATGGAAAATGCAATGGCACTGAGAAAAGACTATTATAATGGTAGGTGGAAAAAACATACTATAAAGTTGTATATATAATGTTAATCTTAACTTACAAAAGTGCTTACCGTTTGTCACTATAGGACTAGAACAGCACTATCCTCCCAGGAATTACTATGTATTTTCTTTGTTAGTAAGAATATTCTTTCCTTGCTTTTCTACATTTTCAAATTTTTCTACAATAAACATGTAATAGCTTTATAATTGGGAAAATATTATTTTTGAAAAGTTAAAAGTATTTTATATATATTATTTCATAGATTGAATAATTTATTGATGTTTCCTGATTCTTAAATGCATTAGGGAAACTTTTCATTGGAAATAACCATTAATTTTGTGTTTAGTATTATGTTACATTTTTCTTTTTGCTTTATCCAAGTGGAAAAGAAGATATAGAGAGTCACAAGAACATTATATTAACATGGATGATCCAGATACCAGAAAGAAAAAACTTAAAGCTGTCCCTCTGATTGGTGCTCAAATGTCTCTGAGTGTCACTCTCTTTCTGCCCGGCATACCATTTCCCATTTCTACCTTCTTGTTTTTCACTAAATGAGTTCTTACTTCAGTTTAAATACCACTTTCTTAGAAAGGTCCTCCATTATTTCCCCGGTGTTTATTTGACTTTCCAAGTCTAAACTGAGTTCTCCCTGGAACTTCACAAAAATTACTTACACTTAACTGAATTTTCTTTTTGTCCTTGCCATTCTACAGGAGTGACAAAAAAAAAGAACCAGAAAGGGCTTATCTGCAGTTTAAGGGCCAGAAGTGAATAATGACCAGCTCACAAATACATTCTCTTAAAAACTATTTATAGAATTATAGGTGACCCCCAGAATCTATAAAGTAATTGACAAATTCACTATAGCTCTGAAGGAAAGAATTCCATGATGTATTTCTGCATAGTTAGCATAGTTCTGCTTAGCCCCCAGCATAGTTCTTCTGCTTTTCTATAATGTGAAGATTCTCATGGGGAATTCTGATTAAAAATATATCCTGCATTTGCATAATCTTTTAAGGAACGAATTAAGCAAATTTAAGGGAAAATTTTCATATTTTATTCTTGTGTTATTGATATTTTGGCTATTTAAAATGCAACTTAATATGAACACATCAAATCACTGTTGAAAACTGATAGACATCAACATGGCTTTTGCTCCAAAATGTATTAAGAATAAAATAATTGTGTATTAGTCTGCTTGTAATACTCCAAAACAACTAATATTTATCGTACTTTACTATAAAAATGTTTAGCAGTTCAACTCATGATAGTGGATGCCAATTCCCATTAGGAGTAATCAGTACCTAATAGAATGTAGCCCACACTCCCTGCTGACTTTGAAAATCAGGTTACTGTTTAAAAACTATTTATTTTTAAATGGGTAGATAACCATTATATGTTTTTATTTGATACAACATATTCTGAAGTATATCTACACATAACATGATACTTTTTGAAAAATACATCATCAACTATAATTACTTTACTGCACAACAGAGCTCTTGAAATTTAACCTTGCTAGCTAACTAACTACATATCCTTTGAGAAATGCTTTTCTCCCTAGGCACTCTGGCTTTTGGCAACCACCATTATGTGTCTTACTTCTGTAAGAGCCATCATCATTTTTAGATTCCAAATGTGAGTGAGATCACACAGTATTTATCTTTCTGCCCAATATTTTATTTAACACAATGTCCTCCAGGTTTCATCCATGTTGCTACAAAAGGCAGAATATCATTCTTTTTAATGGCTAAGTATATCACATTTTCTTTATCCTTTATCCATCAACAAAGACTTTTGTCAATTTCTTTTCTTGCCTATTGTGAGTAGAATAGTGGTAGAATAAATGATTTCACAACTTTTGATCTATACTCTGTAGTTGAATTGGGATGCCATTTTTACTTGTAGTTTTTCGAGAAACCTTCATATTATTTTCCATAATGGTTATACCAATTTACATTCCCACCAACAATAGAAGGGTGTTATTCTCTATATGTGAATCATGACTTGTTTCTTTTGTCTTGGGATAATAGTAATTCTTTTAAATGGGGTGAGATATCTATCTCATTGTTGTTTTGATTTCCATTTCCCTTACTATTAGGATTTTGAGCATTTTTTTCATATACATCATAGCCAATCATATGTTTTCTTTTGTGAAATGTCTTTTGCCTATTTTTACATTGGGCTATTTGTTGTGTTTATTGCTACTGAATTGGTTGAGTTCTTATTTACTTTGGATATTAAACTGTTGCTAGAGTATAGTTTGCAATTATTTTTCTCATTTTGTAGGTTATCTCTTCTTATCATTGATTATTTCCTTTACTGTATAGAAGCTTTCCAGTTCGTTGCAATTCTATATGTCTATTTTTGCTTAGGTTGCCTGTAATTTTGATGTCTACAAAATTTTTTTAAATTCTGAACAACGTCAGGAAACACTTCTCCTGTTTCCTTTTAGTACTTCATAGTTTTGAGTCTTACATGTATAAATGAGAATTCAGTCAATGAAGAAAGTCATGCAAAGAATTGTCTCTGAAAATGTTTAAGTATCCAAGATCATCCAAGCCCAATCAATGACCACTAAACAATTAAATGTAAAAGAAACTATCACATAATAAAGAACATCTAGTAAGTTCACTTAAGAACGAGAAGGAAGAGTGTTTCTGCATAGATTTTAGAAAGAGCAGCCCAAAGAGAATACAAGATTCATGAAATATATGGTCTTTTATTATATTTATGTAGCTCACATATCAGGAACAAAATGAGTAAGTAGTTATACCCACAGTTGTTTAAAAGTATCATATGTAGTGTTTCAAGGAGATTTCATTTATGTGACCAACTGCTCAGTGGAATGCTCAAAGTGGCAGAGAAACGTATAGTAGTTGAAGAAAGTTTATGCACAATGCACTTAGGTTGGAGAGGAAAGGAATATCAATATTACAAAGTCATACACAGAGTATTCAGAAGGCATATTAAAGAAAAACAAAACCTGTAGAAAATAAAGTCTTTAACAAATAAATGAATAAAACATTAGCCTGGTTATAAACAGGAGGACTTTGCTCAAATCACACCTCAGAAGTATTTGGCATTTATGTGTTTTGAAAATAGTAAGAGAAGTAACTGATAATCTTTAAATCAAAAGATTTCACATGAAAATTTGCATTCCTGCTTTACCTGGGAAACTGGACAATGTGGTAACACTACGTCAACATTCCTGCCTTGCAAAAAATTATCTGGAACGGAGCAGTGGCTCCTTTAGAAAAGACTTGGATCTCCAGTTCACTGCAGTAGCTTCCTGCTTCATTCCCACCAGTCTGGCCTCTGTAAGCATTTGGGGTTCCAACTTCTGGAATAGAAAGGACCTTGAGGTAAGGATTGAAGGACCCAATGTAGCCCTTGATAAGATGTACAACTCATTTTTATTAATCATTTACCCTATATTTCATAGTTTCTTCAAAAGGGTGGAGTATCAGGAATTATTATTAGTATACAGAGGAATACTAGTAAGTGAGCTAAAATAAAGCACACAGATGACTTTCTTAATAAAATTCAGTTGGTCCTAAGACTGATTATTCTTGAGAAAAAGGCTATAAACAGTGCAGAGAACTCTCATTCAATTTCAATTGTCTATCACCTACCTTTCTCTCTTTGGACCATAATCAACAATATCACATTACTGTTATCTCAGGAATGCATGGGGTGGTCAAAGAATTACAGAATCAAACTGGACAACTTACTTATTATTAAGATACATTGAATGTCATGAATTTTTCTGTTTTAACAAAAACATTTATAAGGTCTTTCAGTGGTATACTCAAGAATTTATAACCCCATACTTTATTTTCTTTTAACCTCCAGGTAGAGGAGGTACTTGCTATAATGTTTTGTGTGATGACTCTTACTCATGTTAGGTAACATAATCCTGAAAGTTGTTTACCTTATTTTGTCCTGTTTTCAAGTCACTGGACAACTTTTTATTATCTGATAGATTTAATATGTATTTAATTTCTATACGAGGTGATGTATAAATAAGTCACCTGGTATAGAAATTTGGTTTTTGCAAATATTGATGTTCTGTGTTATAAACCAGAGTCTTACTCTCGAGTAACAGAAAAATCAGTTTTTTACTTGACTTTATCAGCATTATTGAATTATTATATCAGTATTATACTGTCAAATGAAATTACAAATGGAACTTCACAATATGAAACAGAAAAAAGTCATTTTTAGCAAAAATTCATTTTATAAGATAAAATTACATTACTTATTAAAATCTACTAATAAGAATGGACTATTTTGATTAATATGAAGTCATGGAATGTTGGTGACAACTGAAATGTTAAAGATTAATAAAATTTTTCTATTTTTGGTTTTTTAGTATTGATACAATTCAAATTAACAAAGACAAGTGATTATAAATGGCAACAACTGTTTAAAATAGTTAATTTGGCAAAATTAAGGTTTCTGCAATTAAAATGGTCCAGATGATTGAGGAAAGAGTAAGAAAAATTTTTATTGCCAAGAACTAAATGACTGTATTTAATTAGTATTCACATTTCTGCTTATGAATACAAAAAATCGGTAAGAAGTACACAAAGCTAATTATACTACTTATGAAATCTACCAATAATGATGGATGCTATTATTTAATAAAAATATGAAATTCAAGGGATATTCAGGACAACTGCAATCTTAAATCATTTTCAACCCATTAATAAGAAAACTTTCTTTAGCATAATGTTCTCACACTAACTTGCCATAGTAAAATTTTCAGTGAGTGCCAGAAAGAGGCTTACACATCTTATTTGTATTTATTCAGTGTGGTATAATGTGCAGCAATAATGTTCTCATTTGCTTAATTTGATTTGGACATATTATATTGGATTCAAGCTTTAAAATGGATAACTATAAGCTTAAAAATAAAAAATATTTCTAGAAAGTTTAACCATCTACATGAATATTAGGAGGGAACGTTTAGTTAGTCGCTCACAAGAAATATTAACTAATACAGTTTATTTTTGTTTTATGGTATCTAATATGTTATAATTTGGTGTAATACAGTTGAAGGTACATGTTATTTTTGTTATAGTCTTAACATACTTAAATTTTTAACAGATTTGAATGTCATGTCTAACATTTGGAAAACCTTGTAAAATCTCCAGCAACCAGATGTTTTTTCCTGGTCCTTCTAGTTCTATACCTACATAACCTAGAAAAGCAAAAAGAGTTTTCAATTCAATGTTATACACATTTACTGAGATTCAACACTCACAGGCAAGAAAGAATCTCATCAGGTAGAATTAGAGAATATAGGTGTAACGAGAAATATAGCCATTTAAAAAATAAGATTTTTTAGAACAGGGTAAATCTCAATGTACCTAAATTAAAATCAATTTTGGTACCATAGGCATACGAAATATCTAATATAGCATTGCTGGTATAGTGTATCTTAATTTATAAAAAAGAATTTCATTTCTATGTAGGTATTTCCTGATAGACATTTGTCAGATGTAGAATAACTTCAGTAATTATTTTAAAAACATATTTTGATTTGAACTACAGAGGAACTCAATTAATTTCCACTTATGAAAATCATTAAATTAACCAAAACTTCTCTTTAAAAACAGACAAACTCTATTCTTAACAGCTATATGATTCCTAAAATCAGTTATGTTGTTTACAAAGCCATTGAGCCAGTATTTGTTGGTCTATTTAGAAATTTAATAAAATATTGTATAAATTGATGAAATACAACTATCAAAAAATGAATGTATCTATGAAAACTGAGTTATCAGCAAAGTTATAACATCAATCTCTTAAAATTTAATGTTGAATTGAAAGAGAAGTAAATCCTGGGGGAAACCCCTAAATCTTGAATAATTCTACATTTAGATTACGTTGCTGTGTCTTTGAGTTTCTGTTATTCTCTAATGACAGAAATTATCTCATGCTATATATTACTGGTATAAAGAAAATTTACATCAACGTTTGGACTCTAATCAGTAAAGCAATAAATAGGGAAAGCCCTTTTTTAATAAAAGGCATACATTTTATAAGTTAATGTTTAGTTATAAATATTATTTCTTATAATTCTCTGACTTGATAAATATGTTTAGCCAATTGCCTAGTTATAGGTTCAGACTGTCTTGGATAAAGGGCCTTTTGCTGTTACATGAATAATACTTGATTGTGATTGAGACTCTGAATTTCATGTTGAAATAATGAAATAATTTGGGATTTGGGTTTGTTTCCATTAGACTCTCTTACTACTTTAAAATTTGTTGGCAAAAAAGGTCACTAAGTTTAATTAGTCCCTAACTTACAAAGAGTTCTGTTCCTGGTGAACATGTGTAAGATGGATTTGTTCGTAAGTCTGACCAAGTGAGTCTGTATACAATGTATACTGCTTGTACTACCTAGCAGTACCCTCTACATCACCACTGCTTTTTCTCTTGCTTCTGGAATCCTGGGCTCTCACTGAGCACTGCACTACTGTACACTATCATGTGGTATAGGAAGCACACAGTAGCACAATGGTCACAATGTCTGGCAGACACATGAGGTACTTTTATGATTTGTTTGCATCTACGAATGCTTGTAATGTGAGATCAGTTTGTATCTGTGAAGGTTCACAACTTGAATGTTCATAAATTGAGAACTTCTTGTAATTATCAAATGGAAAGCCTACTAAAGAGAACTCTTAAAACAGATATACCTTGCAATATCCTAAAAATAACTGCTATAAAAATGCAGAACTGCAATAAAACTGAACCTAAAAGTGGCTATTTCTCTTTTTAACTAACATTTCTTTGAGACCGATAAATGTACCAGGCAAGACATTAATAAAGATATATAAGATTTAAATTATGCAACTAACATGCTCAGTCTACTGAAATACACACAGTCTACTGAAATCTATAAGAATTAGTAAAGATATATAAGATCTGAGCTATTTAATTAACATGCTCAATCTATCAGAAATACATATGAAACTGTAAGGCTATAAGAATTTAGATTCACATTTTAAAAGGATCAGCACTACTGGAAAAGCTGGCATTGTATATTGGTTAATAGTATGAATTCAAAATATACATTGATGGGATTAAAATTCTAGCTTTATTACTTGATGTCTGACTTAGAGCATTATTGACCCTGTTTCCTCATCTGCAAGCTGAAGACACAATATTAGTACCTTCCACAATATTATTGAAAAAAACTGAATAAATAAAATATTTTTAAAGTGCTTGCTTCCTGGCCCATAGTAAACATAAATAAAATTATCTAATTAACATAATAAAAATGTTTTATTAATGTAATTATCAATAAAAATTTACATAAAGGAAATCTGAGTGATTCCAACAGAAGAAATCATATAGGATGTATTATCTTCTCAAATTTCCATGGAAATAGAATGCCATAAGAAAACAAAAGTCACAATTGCATAGGTTTGCAAATTTAAAGAACATTCATTCATATATAGGTAGTAGTGAAAATCAACCTGCGGTCCATGATTATGAATTTATCACGGAACCTAAAGTGTAATCTTGAATATATTTGGATATTCTGTTCATTGAATTTTACGGCTTGTATCTAGATGTCCCCTCAAAGCTCCATGCACTCCTAGCGGTGCTTTTCAGAGCTGGCTGAATCTAGGGTATGTGATACTGATAAGGGTAAGTAGTAATGGTCTACCAACTGGGATTCATGTAGTTCTGGGTGTGGCTGAATGGATTTACTGAAGAGAGAAGCCCCATGCTGGGTGAGGGAACCATCACACAAAAGGCTTATAGTCTTGGTGGGACAAAAAAAAAAAAAAAAAAAAAAAAAAAAAAAAGACAGGCTCCTTGTTTGCTGCTTGCTGCTTCCCGCCTGCCTTGCTGTGGACTGCCTCTCCTGTGCTATGTCCCTATGCCATAAAGCCTTGCCTTGGAGCCAGCCAATGTCTGTGGACTAAAAGCTTTGTAAACTATGAGCTGAAATAAACCTTTCCTCCTTTAACTTGTGGGTGTTTGGTATTTTGGTCCAGCAGCAAAAAAAGTAAGACCCTGAAGATAAGCATGGAAAAAGGAAAATAAAACACCACATAATATTTGCAACTTAATATCAAATTGCTCCAAACTGTATCAAATACATGGGGAGGAAGAAAATGATAAACCAGTATTGGGGAACATTGGCTTTGTGTGAAATTTGTGTGCTGAGTTTACATGAAGATAGGTCTATGTACTATAAAAAAAGGAAAGTTCTATGAAAACATAAGAAAAACAAAAACTAAAACAGGACCAGAGTTTTAGTTTTGACAGACAGGCAGAGAAACTTCAGATATAGCAACTGTGTATTGAAGATATG